GTTTCGGAGAAGGATGTAAATCTGAGTAGGTAAATTAATTTCTCTTTCAAATGATCACGAAGTTACCTTCACAAAGTGTATGTTAATCAATTTATCTTATAAAGTTTCATTAAGACTTCCACAAGATTCAGTTACATAACAAATCAGTAATTAGCTAGGGTTAATCCATTCTTTCAGACAGGGGAGTATGGTGTGTTTTCTTTGTTAATTACCTACTCCACTGTCTCATAACTGGGAGTCTCACAATTGGGAGTTCTCACAAATGGGAGTAGACCAAAAACAAACACACGCGTATTTACGAGTGATTAAAACTGTTATTACAATTTACGTAAATATTTATTATATTTTACCGCAACGAAAATTATTACAATTTACGTCAATGTTTATTACAATTTGCGTATTACTATTTACGTCAATTTTTATTACAATTTACGTTTTTATTACAATTTACGTCAAGTTTATTACAATTTGCTGCAAGTATTACAATTTGCGTTTTTATTACAATTTACGTCGTAACAATAGTGCTTTTGAGTGGTTCTACCAGATCCTAGCGCTCTACAAATATGTTTATAGATAGAGAGATGGGGAAGATATTTCATGCATTCAATACGAAAGAATATGATAATGTGACTTATCCCCCCACCAGTCAAACCCCATCAGGTTGCGTTAAAGACCATGTCACCGCATTCCATTCGCGTAGATTGATGCTCATGCTGTTGATCACTGGATTGTCTGGATTATTTACCTACCGCTGTCATACAGGTGGAATATTGCTGAGTGCGGGGTTAAATAACGAAGAAACATTCAGCCTTGCAGACAACCCAGGTATCTTTCAACAGCCCTTATCGCATGTCATATGACTGCATTATACTATTTGACTTCAACACAAGTTGCATCAAATGACGGTCACACAAACCACATGTTTAAAGCCATGTGAGCAATGTTGTAGATAACACCGTGTATATAGGGGTTACTTCACAAGCATCTGTCACTCAAGCCACCGTCCTCGCCAAGGTAAGAGGCGACACGGTAGACATTGTATGAAGTGAAAGTAGCTTAACGATTAAGTGACTTTGACTCTCAAACTATGTCAGATCATGGTCTTTATTACTGTATGAGTGAGTGAGTGAGTGAGTGAGTGAGTGAGTTTTACTCCACTTTTGGCAATATTCAACCTCTGTCAAGGCGAAGGACACATGAAAGGGTTTCACATGGTGTTCACATGTGAGCAATCAACCCGGTTCTCGATGTGACGAGTGACGCTTTCACAACTAGACTACTTCACCAGCCCAGCCTATTGTGATGTCCTCTAATCATTTAAAAAAAAAATATATTATTTTAACAATTTGAAACTTGAAATTCCAAAATTCTTTAAAATTTGCTTTTTACCGTTTGTGATGGCACGCGTACACAGTGTATACGTTACAGTAAATGTGTCAAATTAGGAAATGTGTAAATGTGGTCGTATGAAGTGTATTCATGGCTGTTTTTGTGTGCGATCTTGTCTTAGTCATTTCAACGGCAAACAATATCCCCCCACGAACCAAAACCACATCAGGTTGCTTTCAATATTAATAATACCCTAGTAACTGGTCGTGTGTGTGTGTGTGTGTGTGCGTGCGTGCGTGTGCGTGTGTGTGTGTGTGTGCGTGTGTGTATGTGTATTTACATGCACAAGTCTGCACATCTGCATTTACGTACATGTATTTCGAAATGTCTCTAAGGAAGCTATCTTTATTGATTAAAATGTTTCTGTCGGTGCAGATGTTCCGCTTTGTCGTGGTTGCCGTGCTTGCTGCTGTTGCCATCGCAGCAGATTTGAACAGAGAGTGGAACATATTCAAAAGTACTTACAACAAGGATTACCTGACAAAGGCGGATGAGGCCAACAGGTGAGAAGACAGTCATCTAAAACTTTCAGTCGATCTGTGATAAAAGTCTTGAAAAAAATTAAACTAACATCTCAAATTTAACATTCCATTTTCCATTTTCCGTAAAGATAGAAACAGAATCAGACCGAGTTATCTACCCCTGTTTCTGTCCCTATGATATCGACTGTCTGATTAACACTCATAGAAACAGAATCAGACCGAGTTATCTACCCCTGTTTCTGTCCCAACACTCATAGTTAACACTATGACGTATTATAGGCCAGACCCCTGATGGTTTATCATCATATATTGGCACAAACACTGCAACACCAGTTGAATGCTTGCACTCCGTTACAGTTTGTTTTATCTTTGAACTACGTTCTAGTTTACAGGACACAATAGTGTTATCTAAACCTGTGTGCATTATAAGTTGTTCACTGGTCACGAGTTTCATTCGGGCTTAGGGAACATGATCAAACATAGATGGTACATCAACTGGGCCCCGAGGGACCAGTGAAGAACATATTTATCTTACCGACCACCTTATCGGATGATAACAAGAAGTACCAGTTAGGCAATTAGCCAATACTGGATTTTCAGGTGATATAGAATCTAGCAGAAGATACGAAAAACGAATTGAGAGTTATTTTCCTTTCATCGATTTGCATTCGCAAAGCATCGGTAATTTCCGTACTGCATACGTGACACAATTATTCGAGAGAAACAAATTACTAACACGAAGTACCAAATGAATTCCCACAGTTCGGCATTCCCAGCGGGTAACCTAGAAAGTGTTATTCGCTTTTAAGCGGCATACATTGAAAATAATAGAAGAGCGCTCAGCCAATCAGAAAACGGCATTTATATATGTGTGAGTAAGATAAATATTCATGGAAACATCATGCTATAACTGTGTAAACTTTTTAACCCAGACATTCTCATTGATATCCCAACCCCGCGTCCCTTCGTATATTGAAGTGTTTGAAGCAATAACTGTTCAGACGCTTAGGGGTCCGGACTGGAGAGGTTTCACTGTATTCAGGTAGATATCTTTCCTTTCCTTGATATTCAACAACACCCTGTAAATAGTATGGTAAATGTGAATTCAAAGTATAGATGTCACTTTAAATATTATACTTAAACATATACAATTCATACATCATGATGACAGTGTGAGATTTTCATGATATAACGTAGAGTGACGTGACTTAACGTAACGTAACGTAACATAACATAGCTAAAAATAAGGTAACGTAACGTAACATAAAACAAATCGGACTTTGCTTTTATATAACATAACATAATATAATACGAATGACAATTATCATATACATCTATAATGATATAACGTTACTGAAACAGCAAAACAGTGGTTTGCTGGCTCCAGTCTTGTTGAACATGGAAATCAGCTTTTGTACCGATCTCTGTTTCTGTAAAACAGTTATCCAACAAATCATGGCCCAAAGGAAGTTCATATGCATTATGGGTATTCTATCTGCAGCACGACTGTAACCTTGTCTGCCCTTTACCAGTCCGTGAATTATCTCCCTTGTATTCCAGACGCATGGTTTGGGTGAACAACGTGAAGTACATCCAGACTCACAACCTAGAGGCTGATAGAGGGTTGCACTCCTACAGACTCGGGGTCAACGAGTATGCAGACCTGGTGAGTTAACAACCATGACATGAGGCTCGGACGGGCGTGGGCTTTGATCAGTATTTCAATTTTACATGAGATAAAATGAAACAGTGAATGAGAATGGTTTTTCGCCGCTTTACACAATATTCCATCCCTAACATGGCGAGGGGCACCAACCTTGAACAGTAATCCAGTCAGTGTGTCAGTTTCAGTGATGTAAGTCGTACACGCTAACCATTTTGCTGAAACATTAGCAGGGTGAAACGGGCTTCGAACCCACGATCATAGGTTCCTGGTGTGCCCAAGGGACGCAACTCGGCTCAGCGACCTTCCGCGGCTTTAACATACGTTAATTTTGCAATTGTTAGTGAGTGAGTGAGTTTAGTTTTACGCCGCACTCAGCAATATTCAAGCTATATGGCCTCGGTCTGTAAATAATCCAGTCTGGACCAGACAATCAAGGGATCAACAGCATGGGCATCGATCTGCGCAACTGGGAACCGATGACATGTGTCAACCAAGTCAGCGAGCCTGACCACCCGATCCCGTTAGTCGCCTCTTACGACAAGCATGGGTTACTGAAGATCAATATTCAAACCTGGATCTTCACGGGTCTGCAATTGTTAAGTAATACAACACCGTGACACATGCTGAAGACGTTTCTCACAAGCATAGACATGATGCTGACAAACCAAGGCTTATACTGAAGAGAGTAACGCTATGTATTGTCTCTCAGACCACGAAGGAGTTTGTGAAGCAGATGAACGGATTCCGGATGACCAACACCACAGGTGGCTCCACCTTCCTGCCCCCCAGTGTGGGAGAACTCCCGGCCGAGGTGGACTGGAGGACCAAGGGATACGTCACAGAGGTCAAAACCAGGTAGGCCTACCGATCTACGTCTGTCCATTACTAACGCGGTGAAGACGTGGTCAAGTGGAGAGAGTGTGTGCCTGGAGCATAGAAGATCAGGGGTTCAATCCCATGACCATGTCATACATTACGACGTTACCATTCCTCATCATTCTGTCTGGTACTCGGCATCAACGAGATAAAACACATTCAGGGCCTAGATTTTAGAAGCTCTCTTAGAGCCTGTTGAAGTGTCACAGAGACCTGAGATCGCCTAATCGTTTCTTACTGTGGGTATTGTTTGCATCAATGTTGGGAATCAAACCAGTGTCTGTGACGTGACGAGCGAACGCTTCAACTAAAATGATACCTCCTTGAATACTGGAGGAAAGTAGAAGACAAAAAAAAATTGTTGGATATGTTCATTATTTGTGAGTGAGTGAGTATGGTTTTGCGCCGCTTTTAGCAATATTCCAGCAATATCACGGCGGGGGACACCAGAAATGGGCTTCACACATTGTGCCCATGTGGGGAATCGAACCCGGATCTTCGGCGTGACGAGCCAACGCTTTAACCACTAGGCTACCCCACCGCCCCTCATTATTTGTCATGGCATAGACTAGTGAATACCATTTCAGCTTAGCTGCGGATCCTGCTGGGCATTTTCCGCCACCGGCTCTCTGGAAGGCCAACACTTTAAGAAGACTGGACAACTCGTGTCTCTCTCCGAGCAGAACCTCGTCGACTGCTCCAAACCTGAAGGTATTGTCAGACTGTGAGCTAGCTGGTAACCCTTGCCTATTTGAACAGTATTACTGTTATATCAAGGTATCCCATATCAATATAGGAGGAATTCTTGTAGGTCTTGGATTATTGACTGTTTATTGAAATACACGAGTATAGGTATCTTCTTTGAGTGGCATTTCAGAGGTGATCTCCAGCATTCCCTGGTTGATGCATGTCAACGTATCCCCATAGATCGATGCTTTCTGCCTTGGATCTTTCAATGATATCCCAATTGCGTAGATAGATGCTCATGATGTTGATCAGTGGATTGTTTGGTCCAGACTCGAGTATTTACGGACCGCCGTCATATAGTTGGAATATTGAAGTATGCGGAGAGAAACTACAGGTAAACAAACAAACAAAACTACTTTTTAATGATTGTTCCAGGAAACCATGGTTGTGGAGGCGGGCTGATGGATTTCGCCTTTGAGTACATAAAGGTCAACCAGGGCATCGACACTGAAACATCGTACCCATATGTTGGAAGGGTGAGATTACTGATGACTCCTTTTGTACCGAATATTACTGATGTATCGAACAATACTATCAAAAAAAGTCTAAATTAATTTACGATACACCTTTTTATTTCTGAAACTATGAGTGGGTATAGATTTATAAATCTAAATATCCAAGTATCTTAGTCTTTTCCATAATTCCGATATAGACATATTGACATGTAATAAAAAAGGGCCTCTTATGAGGGTTGGATCTAACAGTCAGAGTCGCCCCTTACGAGGGTTGGATCTAACAGTCAGAGTCGCCCCTTATGAGGGTTGGATCTAACAGTCAGAGTCGCCCCTTATGAGGACTGGATCTAACAGTCAGAGTCGCCCCTTATGAGGGTTGGATCGAACAGTCGGAGTCGCCCCTTATGAGGGTTGAATCTAACAGTCAGAGTCGCCCCTTATGAGGGTTGGATCTAACAGTCAGAGTCGCCCCTTATGAGGGTTGGATCTAACAGTCAGAGTCGCCCCTTATGAAGGTTGGATCTAACAGTCAGAGTCGCCCCTTATGAGGGTTGGATCTAACAGTCAGAGTCGCCCCTTATGAGGGTTGGATCTAACAGTCAGAGTCGCCCCTTATGAGGGTTGGATCTAACAGTCAGAGTCGCCCGTTATGAGGGTTGGATCTAACAGTCAGAGTCGCCCCTTATGAGGGTTGGATCTAACAGTCAGAGTCGCCCCTTATGAGGGTTGGATCTAACAGTCAGAGTCGCCCCTTATGAGGGTTGGTTCTAACAATCAGAGTCGCCCCTTATGAGGGTTGGATCTAACAGTCAGAGTCGCCCCTTATGAGGGTTGGATCTAACAGTCAGAGTCGCCCCTTATGAGGGTTGGATCTAAAAATCAGAGTCGCACCTTATGAGGGTTGGATCTAACAGTCAGAGTCGCCCCTTATGAGGGTTGGATCTAACAGTCAGAGTCGCCCCTTATGAGGGTTGGTTCTAACAATCAGAGTCGCCCCTTATGAGGGTTGGATCTAACAGTCAGAGTCGCACCTTATGAGGGTTGGATATAACAGTCAGAGTCGCCCCTTATGAGGGTTGGATCTAACAGTCAGAGTCGCCCCTTATGAGGGTTGGATCTAACAATCAGAGTCGCCCCTTATGAGGGTTGGATCTAACAATCAGAGTCGCCCCTTATGAGGGTTGGATCTAACAGTCAGAGTCGCACCTTATGAGGGTGGGATCTAACAGTCAGAGTCGCCCCTTATGAGGGTTGGATCTAACAGTCAGAGTCGCCCCTTATGAGGGTTGGATATAACAGTCAGAGTCGCCCCTTATGAGGGTTGGATCTAACAGTCAGAGTCGCCCCTTATGAGGGTTGGATCTAACAATCAGAGTCGCCCCTTATGAGGGTTGGATCTAACAATCAGAGTCGCCCCTTATGAGGGTTGGATCTAACAGTCAGAGTCGCACCTTATGAGGGTGGGATCTAACAGTCAGAGTCGCCCCTTATGAGGGTTGGATCTAACAGTCAGAGTCGCCCCTTATGAGGGTTGGATCTAACAGTCAGAGTCGCCCCTTATGAGGGTTGGATCTAACAGTCAGAGTCGCCCCTTACGAGGGTTGGATCTAACAGTCAGAGTCGCCCCTTACGAGGGTTGGATCTAACAGTCAGAGTCGCCCCTTATGAGGGTTGGATCTAACAGTCAGAGTCGCCCCTTATGAGGGTTGGATCTAACAGTCAGAGTCGCCCCTTATGAGGGTTGGATCTAACAGTCAGAGTCGCCCCTTATGACAAAATACGCCATGAATAGAACTTTGGTTGGGTTTTTGTCAAATAGCATGATTGCCTCGATGAGATATACAGGTAATTTTAACAGAAAATGCAGACATCAACTTCATATCGTTGTATGTGATCTCTGTACCCCTAACATCAAGACCGCATGTGAGTGAGTGAGTGAGTGGGTGGGCGGGTGGGTGGGTGAGTGAGCGAAAACAAACTCACTCATTCAATATTTCATCTGACGTTCCAGGACGGGAGATGTCGATTCAAGAAAGCCAACATCGGCGCAACCGATACCGGGTACACAGACATCCAGAAAGGTAACGAGGCTGATCTTCAGAATGCCGTTGCCACGGTCGGCCCAATCTCAGTCGGCATCGATGCCAGTCGCCCCACCTTCCATCTGTACAAGAGCGGCGTCTACGACGACCCGATGTGCAGCACGACGCGTCTCGACCACGGCGTTTTGGCTGCAGGATATGGCACCAGCGAGGACTTGGAGTACTGGCTGGTCAAGAACAGGTGATTATCTTTGATCATTTTTGTGATGCTATGGTTTCTATGTACCAGGAATATGCTTTTGACAAAAATATGTGGTTCCATTAAATATTGGAAAAGTATATGCAACCATTTTCTTTGTTATGGGGAAAAATGTTTCTCTCACCTTTCCAGGCGAATATACGCGACAAAACCAATTCCACAACCATAGGAAATCTCTACTGGAAGTGGAGTCGACGGTACAATTCCGATTATACACCGATTATGTGTTTATGAATGGCTGTCAAAGTAGTGATAATACCAGGTGTTCTCGGCAAAGATGAGCGTGGCCTGTTCCGCCTAGACAAACGTCATATAAACATATGCAAGGGTTAATAAGCTGTTCGACTTCTTTGAGTGGCATTTTAAAAGTTGGAAGTCAGATAGAACAAGTATATATGGATGACAACTTCTTTTATTCTAGAGCACGACGTTTCGATACAGGTTCTTGTATCGTTTTCAAGTGAGATTCAAATTTAGGCACGTAGAGCTCGAGTCAAAATAAGTAATTGCACCGGAAGTCGTTTTTTGTCACTGATGTGTCAAATTTGAAATTTCCTCCACATGTTTACCATGAAACCTTGTGAAAGCTTTACTGAGACCTTGACTGTGGTAACCTGGATCGAACAACTTCTGAGTAAAAGAGGTATGTCGTGAAAGAGCGTGCTGAATTGTCCCTGAAAGGTTGTCAAATGTAATATTCAAATACTGAAGCGCCTGTAGTACTGCTCACCTTGAAGGGACAGCTGACTATTTGAAAGTTGTCTTTCAGCCTTCTGGAGAATGTCTTTCCTCAGGGACCACAGAATGGGATGGTCTTCATCTGTTTATATCACTGTCTTCATCTGTTTATATCACTGTCTTCATCTGTTTACAGCACTGTCTTCATCTGTTTACATCGTTGTCTTCATCTGTTTATAAATATTACTGTCTTACTCTGTTTACATCGCTGTCTACATCGTTGTCTTCATCTGTTTTACAGCTGGGGAGAATCGTGGGGAGACAAGGGCTACCTCAAGATGTCCAGAAACAAGGACAATCAGTGCGGTATCGCCAGCCAGGCCAGCTACCCCCTTGTGTGAAGAAGTATATAGGGTTTCCCGATCTCATTACAAATCAGATGATTTGCACAGATATTATACTTTCTGAGTCAAGATGTGCCGACACCTACATACTGGGTCGCGTCAGGAGAACCCCTTCTAAATGATGTTCATATGGCGCGACCCCCTATGTTCTCCTCCAGAGAGACATTCTTATCCGAGTAATACATTTGAATGTAATGATATTGATTTTTTCTAAAATGCTGTTTAATATATTTCGGATATCAGCTCCAGTGTGATTTGTCAATCAATGATTCTGTAATAAGAGTGTTTTTAAATAAAATATAATTAAAAGAGAGTAGTTTTCGAATAGTCAGTCAGGTTCCCTCCATCTGGAAACAGTGCCGGTGAATACACTTTATAACTGTCCAAGAATCGTACATAGCAGTGAGTGAACTGGGTTTAACTCTTTGGACAGTATTAATATTAATTATTTCTAAGATGCCTTGCGGTTAGAACAATCGAAAAAAAAATACATTATGAGACAATAAAGGTATGGTTTTTTGATGACGTAACAATTGAATGACGTTATCCCGTCACTGCGCCATTCTAGTGTGCCCCCTCGTAATCGAATTATTTTACATTATTGTATGTGACAATGTAAGTGACGTCACGATGCATGTCAGTTGTCATCGCCTCGTACGGCCTCCTACAGTAAACTACTCCGTTGCATCCCGTTTCTTGGTTTGCAGTTGCTACACGCAGCTAACATTACTGGTGGAAACATTACGTTTATGTTTTACGACGTTTAAAATGTGTCAATTCGACTAACAAGTTTTCAGCGACACGGTAACGTTCGCAATGTTTACATTCCCACAATGCAATCGTGGAATGTCGCTTGACTACTCAGCTTCATCTGGATGTACTGATCTAAACTTACGTTGGTAGTAGAAATGCGACGTTCAGATTGCCCCATATGGTTTACGTTAATGACAGATGTAATTAAAATAATTCAGAGAAGATATTTAATCCGAACGTAAACCGTCATCAAACTGTTATCATTTTTTTTTTCTGGTAACGTTCGTCTTAACGTAGGGGGGCAGACACATCAATAGAACAGCGCATCAGTTAGCCCTGTGCGAGGATTCTTAATTAAGGTCACCGACACCGTCATTTGTTTTCTGCCTTAAATTAATCGTAATTATCCTTAGAAAGTATTAAATTTAGTATCTTAGAAAAGATGTAAAGTTCGCTCTACCCCAATGTGTTTTGTAATAAAGTATAGTTTTGCCCTGAACTATTATAACATCAAAGCACTCGGACTACCGTCCTCGTGCTTTAATTATGTGTTTTGTAATAAAGTATAGTTTTGCCCTGAACTACCGTCCTCGTGCTTTAATTATAATACTTCAGGGCAAAACTATACTTTATTACAAAACACATTTGGGTAGAGCGAACTTTATTTCCTAAATAACACATGATGTTGATTCAAATTAATGTGGAAAAGAAGCCCTTAGGCATCTACATGTCTCATTCGCTTACTGCTGGAAACCCATGAAAGAGGAATAGTGTTGTCAAAGCAGAAGCATTATTTAAGTAGTGTGAGCATCAATGACCAGCGCATCCGGAAACACAAAGGGACGCAACACTTGACAGAAACTTCCATCGACTTTGGACTTTCGATGTTTTCAAACCAGAACTGTGGCATCTTGATCGATGTGAATGAGTCCGTCAAGTTCAATTTAAGTAAATAAATGCGACGAAAAGCCTTGCCATACTCGTAGGCGGTATCAAAGAGTCCGTTACCTATAGTTAGAAAAGGCGAGCCTTACTAAAAGCATCGGTTGCACCCATCATTAAGACATAGAATAGGCATGTTACCTGTAAACCTGAAAATACATATCAACAATGGTACAAGTCAAACGTGAGAATGGCATTGGAAATCATATTCGCAACTGATGCGCAATAACGAGAAATTACCTGCACATACCCGAGGAAGAGCCGCATGACGCTCTTCGAAAGCATGTTAGAAAGAGCATGTTTTGATTGTACCTCAAAAGTTATACAATTTAAACGCCAAGGCTAAAGCTGTTGGAATATCGCAAGACATAAACGGAAGGTGAGGTCATCCCTCTCTTCCTTTCGTCACGCTGAATGACATTTGATGGTGAAACAGATGGTCCCTGGTTTCTCGTGTTTATGAATCACAACGAAATTAGTAGTGTTCCCTTGTTTTCCCAATCGAGCAGAACTTTCGATCCATATGTATACAATGAGCAAACAATCAAACAATTATCTGTTCATTGTATAGAAAGGGCAATAGTTGTGAATGGTAAATAATTCTCCAGTATTGTATAGAAAGGGTAATAGTTGTGAATGGTAAATAATTCTCCAGTATTGTATAGAAAGGGCAATAGTTGTGAATGGTAAATAATTCTCCAGTATTGTATAGAAAGGGCAATAGTTGTGAATGGTAAATAATTCTCCAGTATTGTATAGAAAGGGCAATAGTTCATGAGCGACTTCAAATGCAGTGTTGGCCTTCAAAGGTCGGATAGCGTGAAACTTGGTCAGATATCCTTGATAATGTGGATTGATTCTGTAGCCGCCATCCTTGTCGGTTTACGCGTCAACTAAGTCGACTTGACCTCTCTCGTTCAGTTCCCTGGCAGATAGGGGTTTCACAACCACTCCCGAAGCTGTCTCCTTCCTACTACGTTTCTCAATACACGCCCCACCTTTGTACGATAATATCAAGCATCTAGAGATATCGGATTACGTATCTTGGGCGCTTTCTTCTCACCACCATGGTTCTGTGTGAACTCCACTATTGTTTCCTTGGTGAACATGAACTTGCCGCCTTTCTTCGTTACTTTGTCCACTCCATCCATGGAAACATCACGTTTTACATTTGACCACTTTCTAAATGACATTGTGTGTTCAAGAGAATACCTTGTCAAGAAGTTGTACTCCTTTGACATGGTTTGTCCAGTCTTTCCTTTGTGTTCAAATACGTTTCCATGGGAACATTTCAGTTCAAAGCCGATTGCATTACACTAAATTTTATATTTCAAACAATAATGAGAAGTATACTAACGGACAATAAAAGAAATCAAAATCCGTTTGTAGACGTAAAGTATAAATAACTGCTTTACCATCCATCCATAGTTGTTACACGGCTACACATATACAAGAAACACGGCATGAATACTACTCACACTTTGCTAAGGATCAAATCATGGATTCAACAGAAAACTATGATGTGAGGTCAAATTTGGTTTAAATATCTAAGCTTATTGTAAGCATGGATCCTAGGTTTCAGTGTGTCATTTCATCTTGTGGAACACATACCTGCTATTGACAGGTGTTGTGTACTTGTCAATGACACGTTCCATGATTTGCAAAATGGTTGATTGGTGCCATGAAAACCATTTTTATGGTTACTCATGTATCAAGTGCATGAGGTTAAATTAAAGTGACTGCTTGCCTAAAGAGGGGTTACCATGTTATCATTTGTCTAGTTTTAAATGGATACAATTTTAAATTATATATCTACTTTTAAGTAAAGTTGTGAATTTTTGTGATCCTTTGCAAAGTGTGAGTAGTGTATAATGATCAGCCTCTATTTGTATCTCAGCATCAAGTTTGAAGATCTTAGCGCTACTTAAGGTGACCTTAACATAGGCTTACGATCACAGCTGCGCTCAGCTCGCTTTGTGGCGGTGGGGTAGCCCAGTGGTTAAAGCGTTGGCTCGTCACGCCGAAGACCCCAAATGGGTACAACGTGTGAAGCCCATTTCTGGTGTCCCCCCGCCGTGATGTTGCTGGAATATTGCTAAAAGCGGCGTAAAGCCAAACTCAGTCAGTCAGTCAGATCACTTTCTGGAACGATGTCATAGTAGGTCACAGGGCTACGTTATCGTATCGCTTTTTCAGTAAACAAATATTGGGCCAGACACGAAACACACATTGCGATCACATCTGGCGATATTCGGAATCTCTTTTGGAAGAATGCACTGCTTAGGCATGTCGGACTTAGGACCAAGGTTGTTCAGGCTTTATCCAGGAAGGCTGTTTGGATACCGTTAAGACAGGGAAGATATTTCATGCACCCGGTTGAGTTAAAGGCCATTATTTATTATAATTAACTCAACTTTCTGTTTACGTCGATCGAGTGGTCAGGCTCGCTGATCGATGCTCATGCCGTTGATCACTGGATTGTCAGGTCCAGACTCGATTATATACCGACCGCTGTCATACAGCTGAGAGGTTACAGCTGGGGGAGGTTAGAGGTTAAACAAGAACAAAACATTCAGCCTTGCAGACAACCCAGATATATTTCAACATCCCTTATCGCATGTCATATGACTGCAATATACTATTTGACTTCAACACAAGATGCATCAAATGACTGTCACACAAACCACATGTTTAAAGCCATGTGAGCAATGTTGTAGATAACACCGTGTATATAACGGTAACTTCACAAGCACCTGTCACTCATCCCACCGTCCTCGCCAAGGTAAGACATTTTATGAAGTGAAAATACCTTCACGATTAAGTGACTCTCAAACTGTCAGGTTATGGACTTAGAGATGTCGTTAATGTACTTATAGGAAACTTGTCTTAACTTTGATCGTGTTCTCTTTATTGTGTGAGTGAGTGAGTGAGTGAGTACTATGTTTTTTACTCCACTTTGGGCAATATTCAACCGTTATCTAGGCGAAGGACACCTTAACGGGCTTTACACAGTGTTCACATGTGTGGAATCAACCCATCTCGACGCGTGTACAACTAGACTTCTCCACCAGCATTGTGATGTGTGAGTGCACACTGTCCGCTTATCAATTCAAGTTTACTAAAAATTAATTTTAACAATTTGAAACTTGAAATGCAAACATTCTTTGAAATTTGCGTTTAACCATTGTTGAACACTGGTACAGATAAATGTATATATCCAAATTGTTCTTTTCAACCTTTTCATTATTTAGTTAAATATTTTGGATTTTACCTTGGGTCAGAGTACATCCACTAGATCCATGTGTTTTGCACGAAGTGTCCATGCACCGGTGCATTTAAAACGGGGGCGGTGGGGTAGCATTGAGGTTAAAGCCTTCGCCTTCGCTTAAAGCGCCGTAAAACCATACTCACTCATTCACTCACTGAATTTAAAATGCATTTGTGATGGCACGCGTACACAGTGTATATAGGCAGATCAAGGTGAAACGTCAACATCAAGGACATCAGACTCACAGCCCAAATAGTTGTTGTATTGTCTTCATGTGTAGTCGTATGAAGTGTATGCATGGCTGTTTGTGTGTGCGATCTTGTCTAGTCATTTCAACAGCAAACAATATCCCCCCACGAACCAAACCACACCAGGTTGCTTTCAATATTAATAATAAGCGCGCGTGCGTGTGTGTGTGTGTACTTACGTTCGCAAGTCCTGACATCTGCATTTACGTACATGTATTTCGAAATGTCTCTAAGGAAGCTATCTTTATTGATTAAAATGTTTCTGTCGGTGCAGATGTTCCGCTTTGTCGTGCTTGCCGTGCTTGCTGCTGTTGCCGTCGCAGCAGATTTGAACAGAGAGTGGAACATATTCAAAAGTACTTACAACAAGGATTACCTGACAAAGGCGGATGAGGCCAACAGGTGAGAAGAAACATTTAAAACTTTCAATCGATCTGTGATAAAAGTCTTGAAAAAAATTAAACTAAAATCTCAAATTTAACATTCCATTTTCCATTTTCCGTAAAGATAGAAACAGAATCAGACAGAGTTATCTACCCCTGTTTCTGTCCCTATGATATCGACTGTCTGATTAACGCTCATAGAAACAGAATCAGACCGAGTTATCTACCCCTGTTACTGTCCCAACACTCATAGTTAACACTGTGACGTATAATAGGCCAGACCACTGATGGTTTATAATCAGATATGGGCTCAAACACTGCCAGTCCAGTTGAATGCTTGCACTCCGTTACAGTTTGTCTTTATCTTTGAACTACGTTCTAGTTTACACCACACAATACTGTAATCTAAAACTGCGAGCATATATTCATGGACACGTCACTCTATAACAGTGCACACCCCTTAACCCGGACAGTCTCATATCCCAAACCTGCGTCACTTCATGAAGTTTTTCAAGCAATAACTGTACGGACACTAATGGGTCCGGAATGGAGAGGTTTCACTGTTTTCAGGTGGATGTCTTGCTTTGACAACTACATATTCAACAACAACCCGTAAATAGTATGGTAAATGTGAATTCAAAGTATAGATATCACTTTAAATATTTTACTTGAACATATACAATTCATACATCCCACGATGACAGTGTGAGATTGTAATGTACTTTAAATCTACATCCACCCAGTTGTGTAACCTGACATGTTTTATATATAGCATAATATAACGTAACGTGACATAACATGACTTAAAGTAAGGTAAAATAACGTACATAAAACAAGTCTGACCTTGTTTTTATATATTACATTAGATTACAGTATAGGATATTTCCACAGCGCACATATCCACGCACTAGTCCATGCTCAAGGCGCTGGTATTTTTCCCCTTGATCATTGGATGTCAATCTCACTGGCATATCTTATCATCTCAACTCCCTGGGGATCATACAACTCTTGCTGCCAAAAGGCGCACCGAGTTATTGCGGCTTTCCCATCCTTACGAGGTACCCATTCACAGCTGGTGGACTGGGACACATAGTCACAGTACTTTATCCAAGTTTACTGCACATTGATGTACCCACGTATTCATGTGGCCACCATCTGGTCATTTACCAACGGATTCGTGGGTTCTTTTAAGTGCACAGGGTTGTGTACTGTACACTAGCGGTTGTGACAACACTGAAAGAGTCTGCACACAAAGCTGACTCCAAGGTTACTACTACCAATCAAAAGTTTAGTAAATGTAACCACTTACTTCAATCAACTATTCTGAACTAGATTTTGCAAAATATTCCATACTGTTTAAAAGTCCTATTTACACATGACCTGATGTGTTGTAAAACAAATTCGTAATGTTGAAAAGAATAGTGTCACGAGTTCAATAAATGATGAAACTCAGTGAAAATTGGCGAATTCTTAACAAACTTTACAGCAAAACACAGCTGTTCACATGCACGATATTTGCACATGTTTTTCAGCAATTTGATGCATGATCCTCATGCACTTTTCCCCTAAGTTAGTGGAGAAATTCATCTTCGATGTAACCACATATATATGCATATTATATAGTGAATGCTTTAAGCGAGTCTAAAGTTTGATGAGTAGTATAATATATTATGATACGATACAATACGATACAATGCAATATAATATAACATACGTCACGGACGTTTTTGGTTCTGTAGAGCAATTTTTTTTACAAATCACGACCCAAAGGAAGTGTACATGCATGGTCGTTGTCTGTTCTTTACCAGTCCGTGAATTATCTCCCTTGTATTCCAGACGCATGGTTTGGGAGAACAACGTGAAGTACATCCAGATTCACAACCTAGAGGCTGATAGAGGGTTACACTCCTACAGACTCGGGGTCAACGAGTACGCAGACCTGGTGAGTAAACAGCCATGACATGTGGCTCGGACGTGCATGGGCTTTGATCAGTATTTTCATGATAAAATGAAACAGTTGGTTTTACGCCGCTTTTAACAATATTCCATCCCTAACATGGCGAGGGGCACCAACCTTGAACAGTAATCCAGTCAGTGTGTCAGTTTCAGTGATGCAGGTCCTACACGCTGACCACTTTGCTGAAACATTAGCAGGGTGAAACGGGCTTCGAACCCACGATCATAGGTTCCGAGTGTGCCCAAGGGACGCAACTCGGCTCAGCATCTTAACGCTGCTTTAACATACGTCAGTTTTACCGTGACACATGCTGAAGGCATTTCTCACAAACAGGCATGCTGCTGACAAATCAAGGCTTATACTGAAGAGAGTAACGCTATGTATTGTCTCTCAGACCACGGAGGAGTTTGTGAAGCAGATGAACGGACTCCGGATGACCAACACCACAGGTGGCTCCACCTTCCTGCCCCCCAGTGTGGGAGAACTCCCGGCCGAGGTGGACTGGAGGCCCAAGGGATACGTCACAGAGGTCAAGAACCAGGTAGGCCTACGGATTTACATATCTTCCTTCACAACTTTGATGAAGACCGGATATCTGGTTAAGTGGATGGAGTGTCTGCCTCGACAATGGTGAGTCGGTGATTCGATCCCCAGAACCCCTGGCATTTAGAATATGTCTGAACTGGGTATCTCAGTTAGCTGCCATTGTAATACGGACATACACCAGCCATCTCCAAGCACACGCGTGTACGCACGTTACTATATATATGCTTGAACGCGACATTAAACCCTACTTGGCCTACCCTTCTCTGTACTACTACCGCAATGAACTGATATTGTGTTGACAAACTAAGAATCCTTTAGACGGATCTGCGTGATTGTTGGGTTTGAATCCCCGATCATCAGATCCTGACACTTCAAAGGTACGCAACTCTGTTCACTCGTTATATGTGATGTCTTATAACAATCTTTGGCAAAACATATGCGCAGTTTGATTTATTCCTTTATAACTATGAACTCCAAAGAAGAAATTCGAACTGACTCAGAAAACTGAGATTGCCTTATAGTCACATCACATCTGTTGTCACTGTTGTCCATTAGCCATGAGTAAACGTATCAACAACAAATTACCCACCGATTTTCAGAATCATGGTGAAACACGAAAGATAGAAAAATAGACAGGAGACATGCGCATGAAATATCATGATTTTTCTCTGTCGACCTTCACATTCAGCTTAAATGCGGAGGGTGCTGGGCGTTCTCCGCCACCGGCTCTCTGGAAGGCCAACACTTCAAGAAGGTTGGAAAACTGGTGTCTCTGTCGGAACAGAACCTGATCGACTGCTCCAAGCCTGAAGGTACTGTCAGATTGTGAGCATGTATATCAGCTAAATGCTAAATACTGAATCACTTGGATGTTTCCCAATATGGTGAAAGACACGGACATGGAGTTGACAAACCAAGATTTTGAACGGAACGCAGATCTTTTAACGGGTTGTTTAGTATGTACTCATGAACATTAATCAAGCACCACCATTTTTATAGTGCGAAAACACTACACGCTACCGTGTATGCTTTTAAAACCAAAATGGTAAATGTAACGTACTTGATTCTGATTGACAAAACAACTAAAACTGAAACTGAAATTTGGTAACAATCTACCTGCAAGTATGATCCCCTGTTTGGACCAATGAGTGAGTCAGTTTACTTTTACGCCACACTCAGCAATATTCCAGCTATATGGCGTAGGTCTGTAAATAATAGAGTCTGGACCAGAAAATCCAGTGATCAACAGCATGAGCATCGATCTGCGCAATTGGGAACCGATGACATGTGTCAACCAAGCCAGCGAGCCTGACCACCCGATCCCGTTAGTCGCCTCTCACGACAAGCATGGGTTGCTGAAAGTTCATTCTAAACCGGACCTTCACGGGTGTGTTTGGACCAAAATTGTTTAAAAGTGCCCATGGATTCAGGTGGTGATTAATTAATGGTCATGTGTATAGGACTAACAACAGAATTCCGTAAGTTTTGAGACATCCCTGACCTGGTAAAATATTAGTCTCTCTGTTATCCATAAGGTCGAATGCTTTTTTCACTTAACCTGTTTCTGCAGCTGCGATATTGATAGCTCTCATAATCAAAGTACACCATCACCGATAACCTCTTGGTTTGAACTGTTCATCTCTGAGAAGGGATATCAGCTATTGGGTTCTCGTGGCTGCAATTGAAGTCGATAAAGCGATGTCCCCTCTGGGTTTCAATAATAATGTCATTTAAATAGATGCCCTCTTTCGTCTACCTTCATCAAAGGGGCGGTGGGGTAGCCTAGTGGTTAAAGCGTTGGCTCGTCACGCCGAAGACCCGGGTTCGAATCCCCACATGGGTACATTGTGTGAAGCCCATTTCTGGTGTCCCCCGCCGTGATGTTGCTGGAATATTGCTAAAAGCGGCGTAAAACTAAACTCAGTCAGTCAGACCTTCATCAAAGGTGCAACCAATCAATTTCAGGTCGAGTAGTGCCGGTTGTAGGGTTAATAAGGGCTTGTCGCTGTAGTGAAGAGTTCCACTATTTGACAGGTGTAATGACCCCGAGATGATCTGGGTTAAACTGGTTATAGTGGTCAGGATTTGCTGATGCATATCATAGTGTCCACCCAATTGCTTTGATAGAATCTCATGATGTCAATCGCTACGTGTATATTGTCTGATCTAGATTATTTTCGCCTTTATGAAGCTGGAATATTGCAGTTTGTGGCGTTAAACAACAACAACACACACACTAAACAAAACAACAAACAAACAGACCATTAAACATGGCTATTAATAATTGTTCCAGGAAACAATGGTTGCGGAGGCGGTCTTATGAACTTAGCCTTTGAGTACATACAGCTCAACTTTGGCATCGACACTGAAGCGTCGTACCCGTATGTAGGAAGGGTGAGATTACTTACGTCTCCTGTTGTATCGAATACTACTTTTGTATCGAATACTACTTTTGTAGAATAATGCTATCAGTGAGATTATTTAACGTGTCGTAATGTATTTTGTTTAAGAATTTCCAATCCACTCAAATCTCTGACTGAATGAGATATATAAGTATGCTAAGTATCCTTTCACACTTCCGAACTAGAAATATCGGATCGGTCTAAGGCGAAAAACGGACCCTGGTACTGGTTAGATCCAATGGTAACATAACAGTAAAATTGGCTTGCGCCCTTCATTGAAATAATACGGTGTATAAGTCTCACTTGAGCGAAATAACACTTTTTGTCTTTCCTCAATTGCAATAGATATAGTTTCAGAGAAAGAATATTAATTCAGTTAGAAAGTACGGTATGAATACAACTTTTGTCTCTTCTTACATAGAATATTGTTTCATCTCGTGTCTTTGTTCGGTTCATCAGGTCACTCGATTAGATTACCGGGTTATTTTACAATAAAATACAAAGGTCATTTATATATCTTTATATAAGATTCGTTATGCCTTGCAACTGAATACCGTATTTCATTTATTGAATGCCTGCCCCAATGACCTATTACTAGATAAGGTTTTGAAAGAATTAGATTAGCTAAAGGCAGATTTCTCTCCAGTACATTTGAATGATATTAACATGCCTGCCCCCATAAATGACCTATTACTAGATAAGGTTTTGAAAGAATTAGATTAGCTAAAGGCAGATTTCTCTCCAGTACATTTGAATGATATTAACATGCCTGCCCCCATAAATGACCTATTACTAGATAAGGTTTTGAAAGAATTAGATTAGCTAAAGGCAGATTTCTCTCCAGTACATTTGAATGATATTAACCTCTTTAGATCTCTTGTCGATCGTACGATTGAAATAGAGGTTGTGCCTTAAGCAATATGGAAGAAAGTGAGTGAGTGAGTGAATGAATAAGTCAGAGAGTGAGTAGATTATTGAGTGACTGAGTGAATGGTCAATCTTGTGGGCGAGTATGATTTTAAGTCTCTTGTAGCAATATTGCAGCCTTATCAATCAGGGTACACCAGAAACTGACATCACACATTATACTCAAGTGGGAAACCGAACCACTTACATGTCTTCTGTGTGATGAACGAATGCTGTAACCACAAGGCAAGCCCACTACTTAACAGATGGGTAGATCGACCCCCCACCGTCACACTAAACTACGGACTGTGTCTAAATGTAAACTGACGTTGATAAAGCCTCTTCATACGTATTCATTATGTGAACGTAACGTATATGTTTTAAAGTAAACGCTTCATTTTGTGCAGCCCTTACTACCTCGGTTTTTCCATTGACGTTCTGGGAAGGTGGGGTAGCCTAGTGGTTAAAGCGTTCGCTCGTCACGCCGAAAACCCGGGTTCCATTCCCCACATGGGTACAATGTGTGAAGCCCATTTCTGGTGTTCCCCGCCATGATATTGCTGGAATATTGCTAAAAGCGACGTAAAACCATTCTCAATCACTCACCCGTGATTAACGTTCCAGGACGACAGGTGTCGATTCAAGAAAGCCGACATTGGTGCCACCGATATAGGGTTCATGGACATACAGCGAGGCGATGAGGATGACCTTCAGCATGCCGTTGCCACGGTCGGCCCAATCTCGGTTGCCATCGACGCCAGTCGTCCCACCTTCCACCTATACAAGAGCGGCGTCTACGACGACCCGTCATGCAATAACATTACTCTCGACCACGGCGTTTTGGCTGTAGGATATGGCACCAGTGATGGATTGGCCTACTGGCTGGTCAAGAACAGGTGATTAACTTTGATGAGTACTGTAGTGATATCATTTGAAAGTACGAGGCAATATATTCAACTTGCTTCATCCATTTTACATCCCTGTCTTCATCTGTTTACAACGCTGTCTTCATCTGTCTACAGCACTGTCTTCGTCTGTTTACATCGCTGCTTTCGTCTGTTTACGTCGCTGTCTTGATTTGTTTACATCGCTGTCTTCATCTGCTTACATCATTGTCTTCGTCTGTATACATCATTATCTTGATCTGTTTACACGACAATCTTCATCTGTTTACATCGCTGTCTTCATCTGTGTAAATCATTGTCTTCATCAGTTTACACAGTTGGCTACATCGTTGTCTGCATCTGTTAACAACGCTGTCTTCATCTGTTTACAGCTGGGGAGAATCCTGGGGAGACAAGGGCTACCTCAAGATGTCCAGGAACAAGGGCAACCAGTGCGGTATCGCCACCCTCGCCAGCTACCCCCGTGTGTGAAGAAGGACCCCACTGCAAAACACCACTTGTAGACAGAGCAGAGTTTTGCAGATGCATTAACATCACATTTATTATTCCGATACGATACCTTTCTGTGTGAGATCTGAAGCCTTCGTGAATTAAAACGTGACACGACCTCCTATTTTATGGGAAGTTTGGCATATGGTCCTGCTAGAAGACATCGTATTGAAGTAATACAGCGGAGTGTGATGAAACCTTTGTTTACAATGCTGGGATAAATATTATGTCAAATAAAAACCATGTTGAAAGATACCCATTTTTGTGATAGAACAAAATCAATACCATATGAATGAAAGAAAGTGTCTGAATGGTTTGGAATACGGAAAGGCTAACCTATTTGAGATCAGTACCAGTGAAGGCAGGTTCAGCGTCCTATAACGCTGTATGAGTGAATGAATTAGTTTTAAAGCTTTGGATAGTATTTGAATTCCATAATATTTGACGGACAGTCAACTTAATCTGGGAGAATTGCCCACAGACATTTATTCCTTGAAACCTAAGAATGTAAGCAAGACTGGAACGTTAGTAAGAGTCTGCGGATCCCGACATGCCAAGGGACGACACTCTCGACTGAAAATTGACAATTTGGATAAGCTGTGGCAGGATACGCTCACCTTTTCGCGAACATCTGAGTTTGACAATTTGAAACAGCTGAATTTTCAACTATAAAAATTTTCAAGATAAAAAAGTTCAAATATCGATTTCAGTTCATTCTGGTAATTAAATGCATTTTCCTGCACTTATGTCAAAACTCAGACTTCAGTTTGTTTCGAGAAATCGGGACCTGGTATCATCACTATTTCATAGTGATTCATCAACACATGCTCTGTCATCGTATCGCATGGTCACAATCACTGGATTGTCTGGTCCAGACTCGATTTGTTTACAAACAACATCGTACAGCTGTAATACTGCTGGACCAAATATACATTCGTCAAAATTGTACAATCGACTCTTCTTTTAGCAGCGATTTCTTCTAGATGTGGACAGGCTTCTGCCACTTCTATTGTCAGCATCTGGATGGGTGTGAATGACGTCGTCAAGCTCATACTATATAACTAGTCAAACATGATATCCATTTGGAGGTCGGGTGCCTAAGTACTTAAAGCTTCTGTGGGTCATGACAAGCCTGGGTTCGATTACCCACATAGGCACAAAATGTGTGACGCTGGAAAAAGTAGCGTTAAACAATCATCCTCGGAAGGGAGTCCTTGAACAGACATACTGACAATCTCAACTCATCAATCATTTACATTCACATTTCTAATACTCCGTAAAGTTTCCATCCTCGATAATCTCCAGGGTATACGTTCCGATAAATCTCCACTATGCCCTGGATGCATCTACGGCTCGAGCCGATGATTATATTACCTCCCTTGGTTGGCTTTTTATCCAATCAGGTGTCTACGCTGGGAAGTTGAGCGTACCAATCACAACTCACTTTCGCTTTTTTAAATTATTTAACCGATTAAACTTGGCAACACAATAATATATTGTTGCAGAGGTACTCTAAAAGAGGTAGGAGTTCTCACACATATATTTTTTTAAGATTTTAGACCTGTCAATTTGTCTGTATCTTTTTTCCCCAAAATCGCGGCTGCGACCGCTATCTTTGTTGACACTGGCAAGCTCGGTTGTAACGGCGACTTATCTGATTGGCTACAGTGAGAATGCGGAGCCAGCAAGGGAGGTAATAAAATCGTCGGCTCGAGACGTAGATACATCCAGGGTATAGTGGAGATTTATCGGAACGTATACCCTTGAGATTATCAAGGATGTAAAGTTTCGTGATGGAATCAAACTTCAGCAGCCCAGGCCTGCAAGTTGCGACTCATGGTGTCTCAGTGATCAATGATAGATCCAACAAACAACATATTTATCATAATTTCCAGTCTTTTATATTGTAACCAAACTCCTCATATGAGAATCTTTTAGAGAAAATATCGTGTGTGTAGTCAATTATTTTGTTGATACGCCGCTTTTGGGGCGTTGTGTAGTGCTGGAGAGACGAGGTTGTATTTCTCCTGTGGAAACTTCCTTCTGGGTTTCCAACAGCACTAAATCGATTCCACCAAGAATACTAAACACACTAATAATGTCATCCACACAGTATATACTCATGTTTGTCATCTTATTCCACCAAGAATACTACACACACTAATAATGTTATCCACACAGTATATACTCATGTTTGTCATCTTATTCCACCAAGAATACTACACACACTAATAATGTTATCCACACAGTATATACTCATGTTTATCATCTCATTCCACCAAGAATACTACACACAATAATAATGTCATCCACACAGTATATACTCATGTTTGTCATCTCATTCCACCAAGAATACTACACACACTAACAATGTTATCCACACAGTATATACTCATGTTTGTCATCTTATTCCACCAAAAATACTACACACACTAATAATGTTATCCACACAGTATATACTCATGTTTGTCATCTCATTCCACCAAGAATACTACACACACTAATAATGTTATCTACACAGTATATACTCATGTTTGTCATCTTATTCCACCAAGAATACTACACACACTAATAATGTTATCCACACAGTATATACTCATGTTTGTCATCTCATTCCACCAAGAATACTACAAACACTAATAATGTCATCCACACAGTATATACTCATGTTTGTCATTTCATTCCACCAAGAATACTACACACACTAATAATGTCATCCACACAGTATATACTCATGTTTGCCATCTTATTCCATCGAAAATACTACACACACTAATAATGTCATCCACACAGTATATACTCATGTTTGTCATCTCATTCCACCAAGAATACTACACACACTAATAATGTTATCCACACAGTATATACTCATGTTTGTCATTTTATTCCACCACGAATACTACACACACTAACAATGTCATCCACACAGTATATACTCATGTTTGTCATCTTATTCCACCAATACTACAAACACTAATAATGTTATCCACACAGTATATACTCATGTTTGTCATCTTATTCCACCAAGAATACTACACACACTAATAATGTTATCCACACAGTATATACTCATGTTTGTCATCTCATTTCACCAAGAATACTACACACACTAATAATGGTATCCATTCCACAGTAGTATATACTCATGTTTGTCATCTTATTCCACCAAGAATACTACAAACAATAATAATGTTATCCACACAGTATATACTCATGTTTGTCATCTTATTCCACCAAGAATACTACACACACTAATAATGTTATCCACACAGTATATACTCATGTTTGTCATCTCATTCCACCAAGAATACTACACACACTAATAATGTTATCCACACAGTATATACTCATGTTTGTCATCTTATTCCACCAAGAATACTACACACACTAATAATGTTATCCACACAGTATATACTCATGTTTGTCATCTCATTCCACCAAGAATACTACACACACTAATAATTTTATCCACACAGTATATACTCATGTTTGTCATCTTATTCCACCAGCTACAAAATTAATATCAATAATGGCTCAGCTGTTCACGCGTGGGGTTGTGTTCTGTTTCGATTTTATGAAGGTCCTATAATATGTGTCAGCACAACACGTGTTACAAACTGATTTTATTCCACAGAGGTTTGACAATCCTGTTCACATTTCTGCCATGAACACGGTTGTTGGACAATTAAGAGGTCGCAATTCGCTGTGCAGAGTTGCGTCCCTTAGAATTGCCAGAAACCGTTGATCGTGAGTTCGAGTTTAGTGAGCGAGTGAGTTTAGTTTTACACCGCACTCAGCAATATTCCAGCTATATGGCGGCGTGAGTTCGAAACCACGTTTACCATCATTATTTCAGCCCCCTGCCTGTGCTGCTTGTTTTCACGAAAGAGTTTAACATTTTAGATCTGCATTATCTAGGCGTTCTTCACAGATCAACGTGGCAATCTTGATATAACTGAAATCATGTTCAAAACAGTATAAAAACACTTCATTTACTCACACTTCCGCCAGGCCTCCGTAGGCGCTTTGCCCTTTAGTTGTCCTGAATATATTCTGTTGAAGTTGGCAACGATGGCGTCAAATGGGTTCCTGATAATCAGCAGGACCTTGTCTGGAGTAAAGGTGTTGTTGGGATACCTGAGGTGAGTCTTGATAGCCACGACGGAGTTGTCCGCTCGCTCTTCTCCGCAGAAGACACCGCTCAGGATTTTGGCGTTGTGGACGGAGCCTGTTGCTAGCCCTTGCGTGAGAAAAGGGGGGAAAATCAGTTAATGCGTTACCTTTTCACAAACGCTATCATTTTATCGGCATAAATCATCTGATTATTCTCATTGATCATTCTATCCTACATGAATCATCAAGGTGCTTTCGTTGGCCATTCACTCAATAATGAATCATCCACCGGCTCTCTCATAGTTATCAGTCCCTCTGACATGAATCAACTAGGGATTCTCAATGATCAAGCCTTCAGGCATGCATCAACTAGAGATTCTCAATGATCAAGCCTTCAGACATGAATCAACTAGAGATTTTCAAGCATCAATCCGTCTGATATGAATCAACTATGGATTCTCAATGATCATTCTCTCTGACATGAACCACTGATCATCAGCTGACATATAGGTGTTCTTGCTAACCGTTTACGAACCATTTAATCTCTGTGACAGGAACCATACTTTTGTATTTGTCATTTCCTCTAACATACCTTAACTAAGAACCATCCTATTGTATCCCAACTGCATATATCAATGCTCATGATGTTGATCACTGGATTGTCTGGTCCAGACTTGATTATTTACAGACCGCCGCAATATGGCTGGAATATTGCTGAGTGCGGCGTAAAACAACAAACAAACATAAGAATCGTCCTCGGATCGTGTTGGTTTCCCACACGAATATTCCCACGTGTCTGTCCTGACATATACAGTACAACCAGAAATTATTGAGAATTTAAAGATCGTAATTTATTTATTTTTTTCACTCATTACTCACGTATTAAATGTGAATATAAGCAGAACATAACTCCAGATTCAAAGACAGGTGAACAGTTAGTATTTTGTCAAGTCACCATGGGCAGCAATGCAGGCTTCTATGCGGCGGGGCATAAACTACTGATCAAAGAAGTTAGAAAGTCGTGGTCCATGCTGTCCCAATATGGGACCACCTCTTCTTTCATTTCAGCAATATTTGTCAGACCATTCTTATTGACACTTTCCTTCATAAGTCCCCAAACATTTTCTATTGGGTTTAGGTCAGGGCTATAGCTTGGCCAATCTAATAATGTCATATTTTGGGTCC